AACGGTGTACCAAATATTTTACTAAATTTGAGTCAAAAATGAATCATTTCCTTAATTTGATACTTCGTGCTCCAACGGTTCAACATCAAATCCGTTTCATCAAATTTGTGCTGGTGCCATTACCGGTTGACCGGCCGGTCGACCGGCCGGTCAACCAACCGGTCGCCCAGCACAAATTTGATGAAACGGATTTGATGTTGAACCGTTGGAGCGCGAAGTATCAAATTAAAGAAATGACCCATTTTTGACTCAGATTTGGTGAAACATTTGGTACACCGTTGGAGATGCTCTTATCCAATTGTCAAGATTCTATTGAAGTCATCATCATGCGACTTCCATGTCTTCCACTTCGTCCTCGTGCCTATGAAATGTCTTTATCACATCTTACTCTGGCCGAGTTCAAAAAACATATATATATCTTACTGCGGCCTATTGTTTTAAAAATAATGATACAGACATTCATTATCTTCACACACACAGAACGGTTAGTAATTTGAGAGAAAAAAATAATAATTTTAGCCAATAACTGCCCACTAGAGGTTCTGAGGGTCTCCCCAGTGGGAGTCCCAAGCATTATGCAATTTTTAAATAAAAACGTAACAGTACAACTATAGGGTGCCTCCAACTTTTCCCAAGCTAACTCAGCTTAACTTGTTAAGGGCTTGACTTGCTTACTAAACAAACTATGATCAAGCTCGAATATTAGACTCGTTTAATAAATAAATCGAGTTCAAGCTCGAATAAACTCAACTCCATTATTTTTATTTAAATTATATAATAAATAATATATAGCAATATATAAATAATAACATGAATATATTATTTATGTATTAAATAATATAAATAATAAAAAATATATTATCGATCCAAGCTAAACTCCGTTTTATAAATATTATCAAGATAAGTCGAGTTCAATCCCAGTTAATTATTGAGTTGAGCTCTAATTAAATAAACGAGCTAGATAGGCAAACGAGTCAAACTTAAGCTCAGGAAAGCTCAAATCAAGTTAACTCGTTTGCAATCCTACTTTTGATTTTAAAAAAAAAAAAAGGTCTACAATACACACCCCATAAAAAGTACTACATGTCCTTAAAGCTTTACTTGAATTTGAGTCATTAGGCCTGTTTGGTAGAGTTTATGCAAAAAGTAATTATAGATTATAACTTATAGCTGTGAAAATAAGTTGTTAACCTGTTTGGTGCAGCTGTGGAATTATGGATTTAAGCAACAGAGTAGTGTTTAGTTGATAAGCTGTAAAATAACTTTTTGCTGTGTAATTGTCTTTTTTGCTCTTGTATGATATAAAAATGATTATTTTGTCATTTTTTCAGTTTTAATTTTAAAAAAGTTATTTCATTAATAAAAGTTAAAATAATTAGTATTACAAAAATTATAATTTTCATTATAAATTAATTAGTGTCAATTAGTGGCCTAATTAGCATCATTACTTTTTTTATTTAATTTATTAATTCATTACAATTAATATAAATTAATATCCATGTATTTATATTAATGTTGTGATGTCATTACTTATTATTTTTCTTTATGTTAATTTCAATTAGTTATTTAATAGAAGTTATAATATTTTTCTTTGTATTCCATTTTTTTCATTAATTTTGTTTTTATTAATTTTGTAATATAATATCCATTTTTAATAGAAGTTAATAGAAGTTATAATTCAGTTTTTATTTAATAGAAGTTATAATATTTTTTTTTTGTAATATCCATTTTTATAAATGTCCAGTTTTTTTTCATTATCCATTTTTTATAATATCCATTTTTTTTTTTAAATGTCCAGTTTTTTTTTCATTATCCAGTTTTTTTATTTTTTTATAATATCCGTTTTTATAAATATCCATTTTTTTCCTTATCCAGTTTTTTTTTTCCTTACATTTTTTTTCATTAATTTTTTTTTTATTAATTTTGTAATATAATATCCATTTTTAATAGACGTTAATAAAAGTTAAATTTGTTTTTATTTAATAGAAGTTATAATAGTTTTTTTATAATATTAATTCTGTTTTTATTAAATTTTTTTCATTACAATTAATAATATAACAATTGATATTTTTTATTTTTTATTTTTTTCATAACAATTAGTAATATAACAATTGTGCAATTTATTTCTTTATTTAAATTGTGCAATTATGCAATTTTTATCAATAATTGTGAAATAAATTAAATGGAAGTTAATAAAAGTTAATTTTTTTTTTTTTTTTCTTCTTTTTTTTCATTACAATTTTGCAAAATCCTAGATCTGATTTTGCCTTTGCCTTTGCCTTTGCCGGAGCCAGAGTCAAAGCTGGGCTTCATCCACTAAGTGTGTTTGACTGAGAGTGTGTTGGACTGATCTGGGAAGAATCCAAATGGGTTGAAAGGTTTTGAAGGGGTCGGGAAACGATTGGGTGGTAGAGAGACCACTAGAGAGCTTGTCGCCGTTAACTAATATGGGAAGAACCCAAATTCGTCATCGTTGTAGTCAACGGTCGATTTTCGGCCGTGGATCTTATCAAAATGGAGAGCATGACTGGCAAAGGACACGAACATGAAGTCGCCGAAGCCCTCATCGCCGTCTTCCTCTGCTTTGGTATCCACCATAGCCGACAACTCTGTCTCTCTCTCTGTGGGTTTTTTTGGTGATCGTGTGTGGTTTCGAAGCTCGCATCTGACCGCCGAAGCCCTCATCGTGGTCTTCCTCTACTTTGGTGATCGTTGTCTTCACCGAAAATCGCATCTAATCGCTGGAAATCGCCTTCTCTCTTTCTCAGAATGAACATTGTTAGTCTGAACTCAGAACTGTGTTTATATACTGGCATTTTCGTAATTTCTTAAGTTTTGAGGGACATTTAAGTCATTTTGCCCCTCCATGATCAACTACACGCATAAGCTAAATTGATAAGCACCCTTAGAGCAACTTTGAGTTTTAAGCCGAAAATGGCTTAAATTAAGCTATACTCTGCGTCTTATAAGTTGTACCAAACACACTAACATAACTTAATTTAAGCCAAAAGCTAATTTAAGTTGGAAAAAAATTTTACCAAACAAGCACATTAAGGAATGATTTGAAATGATCTAAATAAGTGTACTTTTTGACTTTTTATAAAATATGAGTTTAGTATAAATGAAATTTGAAGTGATGTAATAAAAAGATAATGTGACTTAAATAGGATAATAACTTTTTAGCTTTTTGACTTTTTTAAATTATAATAAATAACACCTAAATGTAACTATATTGAATTGTAACTAACACAACTTCAGGCAAAACCAATGACCACTTTGATTGTAACCAAAGCTACCACAATACGACATGGGCCATAACCACTAACATTTGGGAAGATTTTTAGCCAAAAAGTCAGTACAAGTCATCAAATTATTTTATTTACTTTTTTGCACATCTTTTCTTAAAAAAATTAAAAAAATCAATTCCTAAACGAGCCCTAAATACCACAATATTTCGTAACCAACTTTGATTGACCATTTGCCAACCTGAACACCAGTGGTCCGTAACCAAGCACCACAATAGTTCGTGATCTATACTAATTTGAATCAAGATGTATACTGTAGCATGACCCATTGCAATAAGAAAGCAAACATCTACCAAAAAGCACTTGAGTTTCAATCCCTTTTCTTGGATTGAAATGGGAGCTTTAACTGATTATGCATTAGATTAGACTTACCAAAAAAATTAAGCCTGTAGGTCTAGCATTTGGCAAGCCAACATTTCAGATCTCAAACAGCTACAAATTTCTGTAAGTAATAATTGTCAGCACCATCAAATATACTTTGAGTTTCAATGCCAAATTTTTTCTTCCTATGGTGTAAGATATCAAGTTTCACTATCAATTAAACTGAGAAATTACTTTTACATACAAAAAAATTCCTTCTTGTTTAGGGGTTCCCTAAAAACGAACAAACTTCAATAACTGCCCAACCTTCTCAATCTTTACACATCACTTACGACTGCCTATGTTGTTTTTGACCTGTCGAAGTAGCTGCAACAATCAACATAAAGAAGAAAAGAACATACAAAATGAGCCTTATCAAATCAAAATTCTGCATACCAGGGTCAAACAATGTGTGCCGCAAATCTTACTTCAAACTCCTTACAGTTTGAGGGAAGAGTCAAATTGAACAATTATAGTTGCATACCTCAGACTAAACTGTGAGACCGTTCTCTATTTATCTACTTTCAGTAGTTGAGGATGAAGTTAATGGCGTAGATTCAGTATGTTGAGACTCATCAGAGGAGCCTCGAGAAGCTTCCTTTTTCAACTTGTGGTTGTTATATGCAGCTACACCTGCAATGGCTGCATAAAAAACCATATTTCTTCCCTAGGTCAATAGGTATCTAAGAAACACAGATGTAGAAACAAGATGCAGACGCAACATAATACGGACATACTGAAACTACAATTTTCAAAAAATGGAGACAAAAAAATTGAAAATATAACGGAGAACACCCTAAAGTCTATTTTAAGAAGGCATAAGGATTCACAAACAAAATGGAAATTATTAGTCTTTATGGTTTGAAAAATTAAAAAGCCTGAAGAAGTAATTAGTTGGGTATAAAGTAGAACTTCTTTTCACAATTGGACACATGTCAGACATAGACATGCCGACCTAGGAGGCATGTCCATGCTTCCTAGATAGGTAATCTCTATTTCATGATATCACATGCCTAATCAAAAACAAAATTAAATCACATATCCTTTTGTCCTGCACAAATAGTATTAAAGACAGCAGAAACATTATTGCAGTACATTAAAATTGAAATTTCTTTTCTGAGTGATCAACAGGGTTCTCATCCAGATCCTAAGCAAGGTCACTATCTGAAATGCAGATGAAATAAACAATAGTATTTTTATCAAAGAATGGAAGGAAAAAAAAAATTAGAAAGCAGAGGAAAAAGAGAAACACACAATATGCTAAGCATTGCCCCAGTGGAAATATGAAAAAAAGGCATATCTCAATGGTCAGATAAGCAACAGTGCCCACATGAAGAAAATGTGAATTCCATAACATTGAAAACGCAAATTTTTATAGAGCTCGAGAAAAATAAATTTTTATGGATAATGCAAAAGATAACCACCTATACAATGCCGTTTTTAAAGTATGACAGACTGCAATTTCTTGTTCTATTTTCCTGGAATTGATTTCCAATGTGAACAATCTATAATACTAGAATATAAACAGTACAACACTGAGAATATACAAAGGACATACTGAATACACAAATAAATATCATAATACTAATGTCAAATTTTGAGACAATAAACTATAGTGAAATCCCAAAATTACTTGTCATCAAAAAATTACCAATGCCATAACCAAACAGATTTATCATTGTCAGCTTTGTATCGGCAAACAGAAGGGCTGATAGTAAGACAACCACCCAATCCTTGACAACTCCAGCAACACGAATTGTCAAAGCACTTGTATGCGAGATCACAAGAAAAACTGATAGATTGAGTGCAAAAGTACAGAGAGAGTTGAGTGTTAGGATAACAGGTTGAAAGCTCCATGTCCCTTGGGCATCCATCTTTGGCTTCTCTAGAAAAATCCACGGAATGAACAAGCAAAGAGCACTGCACAAGAACTATGATTCCATTCACATGGCAGAAAGGTTCTGTATATAAACATCAAATGGTGAAAGAAACAATGATAACAATTAAACTTTGGCAGATGAAAATACATGCCTGCAAGGACTAACGTAGTACATGACAGAAATAGGGTTTAGTTTGAGACCCTTCCTTTTAACAAAAATCTCCATGAATATAAGCCTCAAAGCTTCCCCAATAACACCTCCCATTTGGTAAACCACACCAATCCAGTTAATATCAATCTCCCCATATGAAGCCACTAGAACACCAAAACTTATCACTGACATTATTAAAAGCATTCTGCAGCTCATCATTTCAAGTCCAGCTGCAACTCCAAGAATGAAAACAGCTACTGGCACTGCAGATCTCAGTCAGAAATCAAACGTGCTATCACTAACAGAGGTAACAACAATAGTTATATGAATACTCGAGTCAACAATCATTCCTAAGGAGAATGATTAATTAAATTAGAGGGATAGTCAATACTTACTAATTGCTTTCAACATTTGAGCAAAGGCAACAGATATATAGAGATAAGCAGTATTTCCCAGCCAAAGAGTCATTGCAAACATTGCACCAATTGGGATGACTGATGTAACATATCTGAATGTTAAAACTTAATTAGATTTATTTTATTGTATATTGAAGGGGGAGAGGGGGTTGAAGAATTAGGCACCCAAAAGACTCTCCCTTCTAAACATTCGGAGAGGTTCCAGATAAAATGCCAAGAATACAAAATTCATTTTATTGATGATTGATTAGTAATAGTTCGATCATTCATGTTTCTAAAGCAACATAAAAGTTCACTGTCTCTAGTTAGCAAAAGAGATAAAAAATGACAAGAACTGAACTACAATGAAAGTTAAGAACATCAAATGGGGAGTTGTTCATTGAGTACTTACATTTCGGGGGTCATCCCTTCCTCAACTTTCATAATCTGTTAAGAAATAAATATCAATAGAATTCTCTCAAATGAAACAGATATCTGGATGACAGTCACCGTAACAAATTTAGCAAACTAATACCTTGAAAACTTTAGTGAGCACAAAACACAGTACAGAGGAAAAGACCATGTGAAGCAGAGTTAATCCGAGAGGATATGGGAAATTTATTTCCTTTGATGACAAAACCCACTGTATTTGAAATAAGATAAAAATAAAATGATGTTAGATGTACGAAGCTTGTCAGCACCAAACCAGTAATATTATTAGATTTATGCACTTAAAAAACATCAAACTTAACATATTGAAGAAAAGCATCCATAAAACTAAGATAAACAGCTTGTGCTCTATATTTTAAAAAGCCCGAATGCTAGATATGCCCAAATCCTACATCATCAAATGTCAAAAGTATCCTAAGAAGTTAAAAAATAAATAAATAAAAAGAAGCTCTAGAGAAGGATGTACACTTTATGCAAAATATTAAAAAAATTTACTCTTCAATTTAAAAATAGGCTCCTCATTCCCCACAAAATTCATCCTATTCTGCTCCCCCCAAATGATCCACATCAAACATAATGGTGCCAAAATCCATGCCTTCCTTCTTTGCCTACTGACCCTTCCCCATCTCCAACCATGTAAAAGGTCCACCACACTATAGGAAAGACCCAGCTCATCCCAAACAAATATAAAAGCAGCACCAACAGCTCACTAGCTTCCAAACAATGAATAAGAAGATGTAGCTCCCACTACTTCCATATTAGTTATAGAGTACATAGTGAAAATCACACAAGAATATCTGACAGAGACATTTAAGTATAAGGCAACAAATGATTTAGTACAGCTGATAAAATTAACTGTTTATTCTCTAAAATAAAGTGGCATGGTTGGATGATTGTTTTGAGCCAAAAAACATTGAGAAAGATTATATTGGATAAGATTTCCTCAACTTACTAAATCATAAAGTAAAAGACATGGATTCTAATAAGTGGAAGTTTGGAAAATTTTAAGGCCTTGTTTGGTTTGTTTTTCAGAAAAATTTTTGAAAAAAATTCTCTACAAACAAAATTTTCAAGAGTAATCAAAGCAAACAAATTTTCCCAAAAAAAATCTCAAAATTTTGTTTGGATACCTATTTTCCAAAATCACTCTCTCTCTTATACACATCAAATCAATCACTTTTTTTAAAACTCTCTCCCCAAAACAATTTTTCAAAACCATTTCTAAAAAAAGACAAACCAAACAAGTTTTCGTACTTTTTATCTCAAAAACTACTCTCCAAACACAAACCAAACACACCGTAAATCTTGGTGTTACAGTCATTCTGGAGATGTAATACATGGTCTGTTAGGTTGAAGAAAACATTAAGAAGATTAATTTTTGAAAATGATGAAAGTTGACAACAATTAAACCTCAACTTTTTATAAAAACCTTAAATGAATTGGGTCATTTGGAAACTCTTTAAGTCACGAAGAATGTGCTTCATGAGATACCATCTAACTCCTTTCAACGTTCTTGTATATCAACTAACCAACTCTCAACAGCTTAAAAGCTTCTCTTACTTTTACTATCAGCACATGTTTCAGGTCCTTTCTCCCTTTAGCTTCTATAACTCTCCTAGTCACAATTATACATCTAACCTATCAAAATATCAATATTATTTCTCTTCAATTATTCAATATGGTATAAGAAAAATCACAAACAACAATCAGTTTTTCTGTTTTTGAAGAAAATGACCTTGTCCGTCAAAAGAAAAAAAATGAACCTAGGCATTTTGCAATAGTTGATTCATTTTTTAAATTTTTAGTTAGTAAAAAAGTGAAGGCATAACTCACAGGAGGATGCTACAGATCTTATACAATCTTCATCTTAACGATAAACTGGAAAAATAATAATAATAATAATATATAAATAAATAAATAACAAACAAACAAATAACCCTATGAAGTAGTATGAAGAGATCCACGGCCTACACTTGAGCAAAAGCTTTCCTTTATATATATATACATATATTTTTTTTTTTCTTGGTGAGAAAATAAGTCTGTTTTCGATCCAATGACATTTAAACCAGTGAACCTTTCTATCTGCTCTGGGGAAAGAAGAAAAAGAAAGAGGGAAAGAAAGAAAGAAAGCTTCCACTTCTTTTGTCCCTTAACCCTCCAAGTTTCAGCTACCTTTGAACAAGACTATAAGTCATGCCCTAAAGCAAAGAAAACCTTTAGGTTAAGAAACTCTTAATGGTTGAACAGGTAATCCACCATTCCATGTCCCTTTGACACATGATGTGCCGACTCACAATTGCATCCAATGCTAAGAAGCACACAAATACAGTTGTTGAATAGAAAACAGCTTTTTGTTAGGAATGACCAGCCATCATAAATGGCAAAATATTTGGGAAAATAGCTGCCAATATAACTTGAGCTCATCCCTTCTCCCAATCCACTTACAAAAAGTTCTTCATTATTTGTGTTCAATGTAGCATAGCCCCAATACATCTGTGGGGTATGACCCTGTCAGCACTCTGCACTTGATTAAATAGAATATAGTTCATCTTATTTATAACTAACTGATTGTGCACTCACCAATTTACTGTAAATGCAACTCTGTAATTAAAGTGAAGGAGCATGCTTTCAATGTGTCACAACTGTTACCACCAGTCAATAAGAGATAGAACTCGGGGTAACCAAAAAACAAATATTATTTGAAGAAAAATCTCTTTGTGCTACTACAATTCATTTTGATCATATAACAGTACCTATTTATTACATATAAGTTATAATACATATACATTTCCCACCTTTGCAATTGTGTTTGATGTGATTCCCTTGAGAACACATACAACCTCTGTTTCTAAGGTTCCTTGCCCGCAACGGCATGGTTATCTTATCTATACCATTACCGTGCATCACAAATTCACAATGTCTTCTAATGACTCCATATATCACGATTTACACATGTATTTTGCCTCTTCCACTAATTTCAAGATCCAATTGACAAATTCCTTACAAACTAGTAGTCAGCAGATAAAATCTTCCTCAACTCAAATCTTAAATACCCGCAACATATCATTTTTTAATACCTCATGACAATAGCACTTGATGGTCTGTGTAGCATCTTAAGAATATAATATGCAAATCTCTAAAATCACTAACCCCCTAACAAATCAATGTTTCCAAATTACCAGTCTTGTTCCCAAAACATGTAAGAGACTCACTCCTTCAAATTTTCAATAAGCCCAATAGTTTTAAGCTATGCTGTCAGGTTCAGATGAATTCTATTGTAACCGAAAATTCTCCGCATTTTATTTTCTCAGCTTCTTTTGTTCACTGCTTTGTCGAACGCGAATTGGGGAGCGAAATTCAAACAAAATTGGCAGATCAAACACGAATACAGATCAATCGAGCATACGATTCACATTTCAGACATATTATAAATGTATATATATATATATATATATCTAAGTAAAAAAAAAAAATCAATAATGAAGAAGAAGAAGAGGGTGATAGACCTTGTTGAAGAAGATCTGACCGCTGGAGAGGGCGATGTAGAGGAGAATGTAGGCGTAGGTTACGAATTCTTCTTTCATCAATTTTCTCATCCGATCCGCCATTGCCGAACGAAAGGACTCTCTCTCTCTCTCTCTCTTCGGAGAGTTCCCAAATCAAGGACAAGGGTTTAGGGGTCGGAGCGTAGAGTGAGAGACATGAATGGAATGGAATGGAATGGAATTGAATTGAATTGATGTGTGTGCGCGTGATGGAAATTAGGCCTTGGTTGATTTATTAGATACTAAGGACTCGTTTGAAACTTCCATTTTAGTCAAAAAAAAAAGTAAAAAAATTATTAAATTAATCAAAAAATTAATAATTCATACAAAAAAGTCAAAAAAATTATTTTCTCTCTATTTTTAATACATCTTTTCGTAAAAAGTCAAAAAATCATTCCAAATATATTAATTTTTTTCGTTCATATTTTAATCAAATAATCAAAAAATTACTAAATTAACCTATTTTCAAACGAGGCCTAGTAAAAGCAGAGCACAATATATTGGCATTAATAAGGCCTCGTTTGGAAACAGACTAATTTAGTAATTTTTTAGCTATTTGGCTAAAATGTGAATTAAAAAAAATTAGTATATTTGGGATGATTTTTTGACTTTTTACGAAAAAATGTGTAAAAAGTAAAGAGAAAAGAAAATTTTTGACTTCTTTGTATGAATTGTTGACTTTTTAACTAATTTAATAAATTTTTTACTTTTTAACTAAAAGTGATGGTTCCTAAACGGACCTAAGTACCAAAAAAAAAAAAAACTGAAGAGTGCACTTCGTATTGAATTTGGTAGCTTCGATGGTCAGCGTCTTCGTCCGTTTGCTTTACGCCGGACCAACAAATACAAATTTTTAAAACGAAAATATAGTATATATATTTGGAAAATATGGTGCACACATGTGTGCCTTTAATTTCTTAAGTCATAATTAAATAAATATATATTATAATTAAACACAATAAATATATATTATAATTAAACACAATACAATATATAACTAAAATAGTATTATAATTAAATAATAAAATTAGTTATAACTAAAGAAAAAAATAACACAATTAGGGATGCATATGGTACATTTTTTTTAAGTATATATATATTATGATTTTCTTTTTTTTTTCTTAACATTATAGTATCCGTAGGCCTTGACCCGGGTAACTAGTTGACCGTTAGATTTAACCAAACTCATAAAAAGGAACTCATTATTGAGATAACAATGGATCTCACCCACACCCCATAACATGAGATAGAGTCTAGCGACAACTCTGAAAAATGCATCCTCGATGATTTTTAAGGAAAATATTTGAGACCCTTAATAAAACTTTCACAATTTCACCCGTAATGATGTGTAATGATTGGTGTCACTTTTTGACTTGTCACAAATTTAATCATGTGGGGCTCGCCATATCATTAAAGGTGTATGTGGAGATATCAAATTTGAGTCTCTACTATTCCTCAATTTTATTGTTACAAAAAAAAAAATCATTACTCTCTCCGTCTTAAATATTGGTTTCTTATTCTATTTTTCATAGTCTTAAAATATTAATCACTTTTCAAAAATCAAGGGCTAGAATAACATGAATTTCTTATTTTGTTCTTTTTTTAAAATTCATACATAAAAAATATATTTATGACAATTGATGTTTAAAAAAAAAAAGGTCAAAGGCTAGTTTTGGAAAGTTAGTATTTAAAGTGTAATAATTATACTACCAAACAAAATTAGATTCTCCAAATGAAACTAATATTTTGGGATAAAAAGAATACTAAATTTTTAAAGAGCACTAGGGCAAAAAATTAAATTTGAAAATTTTGGGTAATTGTAATTTTTTATTTTTTGTAATTTTTTTTAGTGTGGACAAAGACAACAATAGTATGAAATATTACATTATCTTTACATATCTGATTATTTATTTATCTATCTATGTGTCTATCTAGAAAAATGATTCATCCCTTAATTTAGTCCGCAAATTCCATTTTAGGGGGCCTAAAAATGAGAGAGAGGGGCGGGGGGATTGCTTCATGTGGGTCTTAGTCACATTATTGGAGGTGAAATTGGGAAGCTTCAATTAAAGGATGTAGCACGATTGGTTTATCTAGCTATTCACTTGTCAACTTATCTACGTCTCACAAAAAAAAAAAAATCATAGGCAAATTGTCACGACTCAAACCCGCCCCTATGGGTTTAGCACCATAACCGGCCAGTAATCCGAGATTACCGAAGGTCTGCTTAACAGTAAGACAGTAATACAGAGTACAGGGGCTGGCGAAAGCCAAAACAGTAATTAAAAGATGTTCAATGAGCTGTGATAGTCTGTATGCAAAAAGACCCTTTTTAAAAAAAAAAACATATTCACATTCAGAACAAAACAGTACTATGCATATATATACAAACATTCAGGTTAGGGACTAAGTCCCCACCATAACAGTACAGTACAGGTCTATACAATCTATACAAAACAAATACAGAAATGGGGAAATCTAAAACACCCTGAAGCAGCCTCAGCTTGGCAGTACTTGGAACCTCGCAGTGAGGCACAGTGGTTGGCTTGACAAAAAGAGAGCTTAACCCGATGCTCCTAACTCCGGTCCGATGCCTGAACACCTACATATATATATAAACAGTAAGTTAAAGCCCAATGAATAACATATGCGTAAAGAGGTTAAGAATGAATGTCCTTTCAGTATTGAAAACAGTCATTTGCCAGTATATCAGTCATTCAGTTTGTGGCTCATAATTCATGCCATAACAGTCATTCAGAAACTATAATAGTCATATGTAGTACATCCAATAGCAAAACAGTACAGTAGGTCTTAACAAACCGAGCAGTCAATGATGGCCATCATATCAGTAGACAGTAGTGGTTCCAAACATGGGAACCGACAGAGATCTCTGTAACAGTAGCAGTAACAGTTCAGTAACAGTAAATTGCTATGGATGCCACGAATACAGTTCACAAATAGGACAAACATTCATTTAGTAAACAGTGTCATTTCATAAAGCAGTACAGTCACTTGTTCAGAAAATAATCTCAATTGAACATATCTTTACAACATAGTTACTCACAGAGCACTGGGCTATAAACAGCTAGAGCGTCCTCGGATGCCAACCCTACACAGTTACAGAACAAACACACACTAAGCTACACAGTTGGGAAATAATAACTTAATCCCTAATTTACCTCGGTGTGGTTCTACATCAATATCTTCATTAAGATGTCTTAAACTAGGCCTAAGAATGCCTAGGATGGAATGATGATACAAAGATGCACTTTAAAACACTTTTCAGCATTTTCAGAAAACAAGGGTCTCGCTCGAGCGTGGCTTTCTACGCTTGAGCGGACATGCAGACAAATGAGCTCCGCTCGAGCGTGAATTTCGTCGCTCTAGCGGACTGTAAGCTACAGTAAAAGTACTGGATGCACAAAAATCACGCTCGACGGGCGCTCGATCCTCGCTCGAGCGTGAGACACGAGTCCTCACTCGAGCGTGAACTCTCTCGCTCGAGCGGACTGTAAACACATGCAAAGTACTGGATACACGAATTTCACGCTCAAGCGCCACTTTTCTCGCTCGAGCGGACTTCATGTATTCAAAGTGTATGCTTGAGCATGGAGTTCCTCGCTCGAGCGTGGGTCCAAAATCTGGAAATTCCAGATTCAAACCTCAAGCTCAAAACTCAATTTTAATGCATCAAAACTCAACCTCTTGGGCCCATTTTCTGAAAAAACACTTTAAACCCATAATATAACATGTTTTGAAGATCAATTTGTAAAATCAAAGCCCAATGGTGAGTCAATTAAACCCATTTTCAAGCAAAACTTCAAGAGCATGATCAAACATAACATGCAAGAATTTAAACATCTTTAAAGCTTTAAATACTTGATCAAAAGAGTCAATTTCCTCAAGAACAAGATGATTTCATGATCTAAAATCAAGATATGGACATGCATGTAACAAATTCCATGAAAATAACTTCAAAACCTCAATATAAGAGCATGCATGCATGATCTAGCTCTCAATTCAACATTGTAAACCAATTCTAGATTTAGATGACTAAATTACCATGAGCCATGCATGAATTAACTTAAATTCAAAAACAAGAAGGTAAATGTCCTACCTTAGGTCTCCAATTCCAAGTCTAGAAGTTCAATTTGGCAATTCTCTCTTCAATTCTTCTAAATTCAAGCAAGGTTTCTAGTTGAACTCAAAGTCTCCAACACTCTAGTTCTCTCACACGTTTTTGGTCTCAGATAATGGAGAACAAGTGATGCATCAATATGTAAAAGGCTTCAAATATGAATTGATAAGTGGCCCACTATCATGGCAATTTGGTGAATAAGTCAAACTCTTGTAAATTAACCTTATTTAATCTAATTTAATCATACCAAATTAAATTTCAATTAAATATACCATAAAATCACATAAATTCCAATTAGATGCAAAAAGACTTTTTAAAACATATTCACATTCAAAACAAAACAGTATGCACATACATCATATACAGATATTCAGGTTAGGGACCAAATCCCTACCATAACAGTACAGTACAGGTACACATATTATTTAGTCTATACAGTGTTACAAAACCAGATACAAAAAGGGGGAAAACTAAAACACCCCAAAAAGCCCTAGCTTAAGGACTTGGAACCTCGCAGTGAGGCACGGTGGTTGGCTTGACAAAAAGGGAGTTTAAACCGATGCTCCTAACTCCGGTCCGATGCCTGAACACCTACATATATATATAAACAGTAAGTTAAAGCCCAATGAATAACATATGCGTAAAGAGGTTAAGAATGAATGTCCTTACAGTAATGAAAACAG